TTTGATATTGTTTGAGCTACCCTGTATGCTGTTCGACTTGCAACCATTCTAAGTGCACCTAATATGATTATCAGACATGCACCAACTTTTGACCTTGTTTGTATTTGGGTTGTGATATTACTAAAAAAAAATCCCATATGTTGCACACTTAAAAAATCACACTGTATATGATTTTTTTTATGTTTCAAAAAAGTTGGGAAAATTAGGAATGTCACCCCCCCCCCCCCCCCCCAAACCAGAGGCCTTCGCTACGTCCCTGTTTAAGATACCTACGTGGGTGACCCGGGGTTTCAGGCAGGAGTAGGCGAGGATGTTGGTGTTCACCAAACTTCGGTGTCTAAAGTTGTATCGGAAGTAGCTGATAAGATAATTCAGCAAAGTGAACGGTGGATCAAATTTCCCCGCAGTCCTGCGGTATAATATTATCCATTCACAATCCGATGTCCACAGGTACAAGTAAAATTTATCACCTTTCAATGCTATTTGATAGGGAAAGGTGATACCTACCGTACCGTACCTAGCATTATCATTAAACCAAATAAAATACAACAACATGCTAATATAACAAAAATGGAAATTGGAATAAGTAGTGATTCGATAAGATTAGGAATCGGGATCAAGAGTAGAAAAGAAAAATCTGATCGATGGATAAAATGTGTCTCAAAATCTGAAAATAGCACGATTGAAGAACAAGCTTTAAAAAAACTTAGTACAGAATATGAGATTAGGGAATAGTTATTTATGTATCAAGGGTACTAAGTAGATGATTATGCCCTGAGGGCGACAGTCTTACAAAGCCGAGGGCCTCTGGCCCGAGGGTTCGTAAGTCGCCCGAGGGTATATACAGGGTGTCCTACGGTGGATGGCGTATTAGACGTTTATGGAGAACTAAAAAGCGGATCATTTTGAAAATTTGGCAACCGGGATAAACGACCATAATCTACACTTTAAAAATATTTTTGTTTATGCGGTGTTGCCGCTTCTACTCTAAACTAGTGGCAACGTCGCTATTTTAAATGGAACACCCTGTATGTGATTGCATATTTCGATTCTACGTGAAATTCTGAGCAGATTTCATGTTATATACCCTATACCTTGTTCAACTGTTTTGGAAATAATGACAGTTCAAAATTGGCTTTTTGCAACTTTGACAGGCTGTAAAACCTGAACGGTTAATTTTAGAGGAAAACCGATTTTACATTCCTATCTTAGATTTTTATAAACTATAATTTGACACCAACTTTGAATTTAATCCATGATTAAAAATTCCAATTAAATTTAATCTCCGGTTAAATTCAGAGTTGGTGTTAAATGATAGTTTATGAAAATCTAAGATAGGAATGTTAAATCGGTGTTCCTCTAAAATTAACCGTTTAGGTTTTACAACCTGTCAAAGTTGCAGAAACTCAATTTTCAACTGTCAATATTTCCGAAATAGTTGAACTTAGGTATAGGGTATATCACATGAAATCTGTTCAGAATTTTACGTAGAATCCAAATATGCAATCACATACAGGGTGTTCCATTTAAAATAGCGATGTTGCCACTGATTAAGAGTAGAAGCGGCAACACCGCATAAACAAAAATATTTTTAAAGTGTAGATTATGGTCGTTTATCCCGGTTGCCAAATTTTCAATATGATCCGCTTTTTAGTTCTCCATAAACGTCTAATACGCCATCCACCGTAGGACACCCTGTATATCTATTAGTACCCGTGGTGCATACAAACTTTTATGTCATACCAGTTGGTTATGAATAATAAATACCTGGGAAAAAAGTGTCACTTCGCAAATTGTCATCAGTATGCAAACATCATCATTTTTTGAAAAAAATACTATGTTTATAAGCGTAAATTTATATTTTGTTAATAAAGAATAAGTTAATTGAAAACTGTTTTTTGCGTCTTTATGCCCGCGCGGGCCATAATGTGTAGTTTATGCCCGCACGGGCATAAAGTAATGAATTATGTAGGTAGATGGTATCTAAGGTATAAAAATACAATAATGTATTGGTATGACATAAATAAAAATAAGAAACCCAAAAATAGAAATACTAGGTTTTGAAAAAAATCTCACAGGCAAACAAATAGAAGAATCTGTATCAAGTCAAAACGAGTTTCTGCAAGAAAATGATTTTAAAATACGCTTCATCAAATCAAATCACACAATGACAGCAGAAAAAAACTATATCTATAGGTAGGTATGCAGAATGCTCACCAAGAGCTTTTAGTGTTTTGATAAATAAAAAAATATATAGATATATATTGGACGGAAAAGGTACCCAATATATGAAGACTACAATGTTCTGAAATGTTTTATGTCCGATTGATCAATAAAGTGCCATTTATAGAACAGTTTTGCGTCAATAAAGTAGCACTTTATTTTACTATCAATTTTTTTAATCTATATATAAAAATCAAAGTTCACGGGGTATCCGGATATGCGCTCCTACATCACTTATCCGATTACGATGAAACTTTGGTAGGTTGTTATGGCCATCCCAAGGAAGGTTGGTGGATAGGTTACGCATCTCGGAAAAAGAAATTAATTTTGAATTAATTATTAATTTAATTGTAAACAAACTCATTCACATTAAATAACAACATAACCCAACTTTTTTTGACAGCATGAAACAACGTTGCCATATTTCATTTATTTAGGCTTGCATTCAACCGACGTAACTTTATTATTTTTTGAATTCAAGAACGGCTGGACCGATATTGAATTAATACCACGTATCTCTATATAAGGTGAATTCGATTGACCTAGATTAGATCGATTTAGGTTCAATTTAAGTGAACTTCTTCTGATCTAGATCATTTTTTTGTTGATGAGGGTGCACTGATCCAGCTTGAATCGAACACAGTGTGGTTCACTTAAATTGAACCATATCGATCTAATTCGGTCAATTGAATCGGCTATAGAGGAGAGTGATATAGGCTATTTTTTATCCCGAAAAAAAAATGTTCGGTTGCGTAAAACTCTGATACACTGGAACGCCTATAAACAGCTCGGGGCGCTCTAGAGCAGCTCTGGAGTGCTTAAAATGCGTCACTGAACTCACTGGCAAGCGACTATGATATCGGATTAAAAAAAAAAAAAAATTAAATAGAAAATCAACAACAAAATTTGAAAAGAAGTGTATTATTTCAAAATGTATTTACATGCTGGCAACGCAGCGGGTCATTAGCTAGTTTTTAATAAAAACCAGTCGCAATCGTACATAAAATCATGCTTACATAAACAGGCATTATTGACTCATTATTTAATAGCCTAGCGCGCAAGCTCGCTCGGCCATTAAATTATTCGTACAATAAAGCCTTACTCTATGTACTTGTTATATAAATAGCTATTAATTACCAACAGTACACCGTACAACAGTACACAAAAGTACGCACTGTACAGGGTATTTGATTAATTTTGGACCCATAGCTACAGCCTTTACTATTCAAGATAAAAAAAATTTAAATATAAAACTTGACAGTTTTTTTCTATATGTTCTTTTAACGGTATCAGAAAGAACAAAATCGCATAGGAAAATGGGGCAACGTAGGCAACTTCGACTTTTTTTAATGAAACACCCTGCTCTAAAATGAAAGATCATCTTTTCTTCCTGATTCCAAATATACAATATTGATCACATTTGAGTGAGCCATTTTTGATATATCTCAGCTTAAATTATAAATAAAATCCAAAGAAATTTTATAAAGATTTAAATGTCTTGGACATCCTTATGAAATTTCTTTGCAATTAATTTATAATTTAAGCTGAAATATATCAAAAACGGCCCACTCAAATGTGATCAACATGTATAAATTTGGAATCAGGAAGAAAAGATCTTTCATTGTCTTGCAAAATATACAGGGTGTTCCATTAAAAAAAAGTCGAAGTTGTCTACGTTTCTTCATTTTCCGATGCGATTTTGTTTTTTTCAGATAAGGTTGAAAAAAAATATATAGAAAAAACTGTCAAGTTTTGTATTTCAAATGTTTTTCTATGTTAAATAGTAAAGGCTGTAGGTATGTTTCCAAATATAATCAAATACACTGTAAGTACTAACACTACTAACAGGCAGGTATATTCAAAATGCTCAGGTGAACATGATTTCAAAAATTTTAGGAGTTATAATAACAAATCTTCAAACTGTAATTTTGCAAATCAGCGTTATCAAACAAAATATAATGTGGCGACAAAAATAATCATTTGTTCATATTCATTATCATACAAGACTTCATTTTTTTTCTAACTTTAACCATGTCAAATTTAGGGCGTGGAGCTAGCGTCAACCTAACCTACCACAAACCACAATATTGTTGTAAAACTGTATTCCAAAACAAATAGTTAAAATGTCGATGATGGCACATTGAAATCTCATAACAGTCATAACCAAACAATTAACTAATCCCCTTTAGAAAAACTACAAAAACAAACATTTATATTACCTGCCTACTTAAAATCAAATCTAAAAGATTATCATTGTCTGTAGTTTGTATTCAAATAGAACGTCTATAATGTTTATTTATTTCTTCTTAGAATTTTGGCTATTCGAGAAAACATCAAACTTAAATATTTGGTTTTGCAACCTAAAAACAGGTGAATGCTCAAATAAATGTATGAACAAACATAATATACATTTAACCAAATGAATTCTAAAAAAATATAAACGAGACTTCTGCTAACGATGTGTCACAGAAAAAAACATATTTTGTTCCAATTTCTCAAACCTAGATACAATGGTAGATACTCACTACCTTAGATTCTCACTACTCATAAAAATGTTATTACAAGGTAGGGCAAGGGTATTATGGAACAAGATTTAAGTATTTACAATTATTGGCCTAATGCCCAACGACAATTATTATTGTTAAAGTAAATCGATAGCATTGAAGTATTTACACTACTTCTTAAAAATATTTCCATTAAAGATAGATGCTAAGTATACCTACGTCAGATAAGGAAAACAATAGGAGCCTATAAATTTGATCCAGCAGTTTGTTAAAGGTTTCACTTCAGTAACTTCGGTGACAATACACACTACTGATTCCGTGATTAAATATTTGCAGTGATTGTTATTCGTTTGGTTCATTCTATTTGCATCTCGATCTACTAGCAGTTGATTAAGGGTTGACTAGTGAATTGTACCAAATTATGGGAATGCTCTTACGGACTAAGCCTGGAAAAGTGGCCCTTGGTTTTAGGGTAGTTTGTGTTTGTACGATTAGTTTAATTTATTTGTTTATCGCGTTGCTCTCTCCTGGTGGCAAAGTATTGGTAGAGCCCGTGGAGGAAAGTTCTAATTTAGGTGAGTTTTTAATTTGTATAGAATTTTTTCTATTGGTCTACAAGCCAGAAACAGGAACGTAGGTATCCTTTTCCGTGGTCGCGGAATGAACATAATCTTTTTCGGGTATGCGAGAGTATTGTGGAAAAAATTTAATGCAAAAATTGTAGAGAAAGAAATTATCGATAAAAATGCTTCTGTATAAATTTGTTCAATGAGCCAATATGTTGGGCAAGCAAACGGTTTTCAAACTTTTCAAAAGAGCGGGCTGCCAACAGTGGCGGTCCATACATGATTTTCTGGGGAGGGTAATGGATGACGGGAAAATCATCAAGTGTCGCAACGTACCGCCGGAGGCGAAATTTTTTTTAGGGGCCACGCCCAAATTTGCACCCGAAAGTCGTTTAAAAAACACGCTTCGGGCAAAAATGTATCCCGATGCCGTCAAAATAGTAATACCGGGTGTCCACCTAGTGCGATATCGGATGATATCTTCTTACAGGGTGATGCAAGAAAAAAAAATTAAAATTCGAAGTTGTTTGATTCTCTAAGGTGCATTGCCTAAAAATATTTTTAAATGTACAGGGTGTTCTGTAAATGGGGTATGCGACAAAACTTTGTTATTTTTGAATGGAACACCCTATATTTTAGTATATTCTATCATTCTAAAAATCGTACGTACTTTTTGTTAGGAATCATCTATACCAAAACTCAACCGTTTTTAAAATATTAAATATTTTTTCAAAAAATCGCAGCATGTGTCAACAAAAACCAACATATTTCATCCATTGGAGATCCTATAAGCTAAAGCTTTTGCAGGTTGTTAGTGCATAATGTCTGTCGATTTTTATCTGATACTCCAACGGAATTTGAGCTAGTGGCTCCCTACATTAGACCGCCAATGGTTACCTGACGTCACACCTGTTTTTGCCATATGAAATATCCCCTCGCTCCTCATACGGAAAGTGTCAGTTCAAAAACGACGGACTTTACTTACATTTACTTCATGGTCCTATGAAAATCTGTTAACATTTTACAGGGTGTTCGCAATACTGTACACAATACCAGACTTTTAGTAGTTAGGAATAAACTGGAAGATGTGCAATGCTTTGTAAAGGATAGTGGCTGTGATGTGTTAATTCTGTCTGAAACATGGTTAAATCAGGAGGAAACTTTTCTATATAATTTTGATGGTTTTGATTCTGCGCACTCCTGTAGAGAGTCTAGAGGAGGAGGAGTATCCATATTTATAAAAAATCATTATGCATTTCATGAAATTGATCGTTCGTCGACTAGTAGCAATTTAAATTGGGTATGTATTGAACTAGTTAATCAAAATTTGAAACTAAGTGCAGTTTATAGGCCACCCTCCTATAGTCATGTTGAATTTTTCAAAGATATAGAAAATATTATTACTAAGCATCCTAAACAACATATTGTGGTTGGTGATATTAATATAAATTTATTGGATTTTAATAAAATAACTACAGATTACAAAAATATATTAACTGTTAGTAATTTTCACATCAACAACACAATCTCTCAAAAACACTCAACTAGGGTTACCGAATATAGTAATAGTATAATAGATCATGTTATTTCGGACAAATTCTCAAATTTAATAAAAGTAGTAGATGTAAAACCAAACCCCTTGTCAGATCACTTTCGATTATATTTTAGAATAAGCAATCACCCTAAGATATACAAACCTAAAGTAGAACACAGCATTAAAATAGTTGATCATAAAAAATGTACCTCACTGTTTAGGGAGCAAATTGTAGAGGCGAATGTCTCATCGTTTCGGGAATTGAGTGATCTGATTGTTAATATAAAAAGTAAGTCTACTTACACAAAGTTCATTAAAATAAGGGAAAATAACATTTGGATGACTCAGGATATTCTGGAGATGATGAGATTGCGGGATAAGGCATATGAAAATAAAATAAAAAACCCAGGTAATCTACAACTCAGTAATGATTTTAAGAATATCAAAAACAAATTAAATAATAAAATAAGATTAGCAAAAAACAAATATTTTCAAAAAAAATGGAATGATGCAGGTACTAACAGTAAAAAGCAGTGGAAATTCATTAATAGTTTCTTCAAAAATAATAATAAATCTACTGAAATTGGTTCATTAAATATAAATGGAAAAATTATTACGAATCAAAGAGATATTACCGAGAATATGAATAAACATTTCTCGGAGATAGGTAAAACAATAGCTAATGAAGTACTACACAATATTCAAAGTTTAGGGATCAATCAAGCATTTACGGAGATAAGTTGTGATGCCAGTGCAATAAATCTGGAATTAACAAACCAAAATGAAGTCAATGAATTCATATTGGAGCTTAAAAAAAATTCTGCCCCTGGCGATGATCAAATAACTGTAAGAGACCTTTTGAATTTGAGAGAGCATATTTTAGAAACTATCACCGTCTTAATAAACAAAGTTCTGACTACCGGCATTTTTCCCGCGGAACTAAAAAATAACAAAGTCAGTCCTATATATAAATCTGGAAAAAGATACCTAATAAACAACTATAGGCCAATTTCAGTGGTGAGTGTGTTCTCAAAAATTCTTGAGAAAATTTTAAAAAGGAGAATGCTAATGTTTATTAATAATAACAGACTTGTTGATAGGTTCCAATATGGGTTCAAAGAAAAAAGTAGTACACTGTCGGCTACGGTAGATTTTGTAAACAATGTATCATTAGCTTTAGATCAAAAAAATATTGTTATTGTTGTTTTTATAGATTTAAGTAAAGCCTTTGATGTAGTAAATATAGAAAAACTTTTATTTAAATTGCAATACATGGGTTTTGGGGGAAATTTTTTGAAAATAATTAATTCATATTTGAGAAATAGAACACAATATGTAAAATTGGGAGATATCTGTAGTGATGCGATGTTTACTGAATATGGTGTGCCACAGGGGTCGGTATTGGGACCCCTCTTATACTCTTTATACGTATTAAACCTGAAAAGTGCTAACCTTAAAGCCCAATACTTTACCTTCGCTGATGATACAGCACTTGTCTATACGGGTCACGACAAAAATTATTTAGTACAAACTGTAAATGAAGATCTTGAGACGTATCACAATTGGTTATATTCTAACAATCTAAGGATGAACGTTGATAAAACCAAATACATAGTATTTAGGCAAAGAAATAAAAATATCGACAATCTAGAAATTAAAATTAATAACTCTCCGCTAGAAAGGGTTACACATATCAAATACTTGGGCTTAATAGTTGATGAACTTTTAAATTGGCAAATGCATCTCAATAAAATCACGAACAAAATAAATCCTATGTTTTCTATAATGTACAAAAGCCGATCTTATCTTACAAACAAAACAAAAAAACAAATTTACAATACATTTTTTCTTACCCACTTCAGATATCTTATACCAATTTGGGGTACATGCACAAAAAGCACCTTTGATGAAATGCAAGTCTTGCAGAATAAAATACTCAAGGTTCTGTTTAACTATGACATTTTGACGCATACACAAACTCTGTATCACGAACTTAATCTTCCAAAGTTGGAACAAATTTTAAAATTAGAACAAATTAAATTGATATATAAAATATTAAATAATTTGCAAAAATCCAACACAGAGCTTGTGCATGTAAACGAGATTCACACTCATGATACAAGGTTCCAAGACCAATTGCATGTAACACAGAGTAGAACAAACATAGGTCTATACAACCCAATAACAAGTGCAATTAGGGCATACAATGAATTACCAGAAAACATTAAGACTATAGTCCCCTTTAATAGGTTTAAGTATAGGTTAGAATTGTATCTAAAAGCTCATTAATTAACCATATGTAACTATAAAAGTGATATTGTATTATGTTCCTAAGCCAACCTTAACCCTGTGCTAAACGTAGTAAGAGACTCTCGAGACCAATACTTTTGTACAGACTCGAGATCATAAATTGTTATGTAATTTAAGAATTTAAATAAAGTTATTTTTCAAAAAAAAAAAAAAAAAATGTACACAAGGTTGTTTGAGAGAGGTAGGTTGCCTGATAACTTCTTGACGTCATCTGGGGTGCCTCAACATAATGCAAATCTGCATAAGGCATCCCAGATGCGTCATCAAGTTACCCATTACCAGAAAACCTATGAACTTTAAGAACCTTGGTAGGTACGTCGGTACTGGTGAACCTATCATATTCATACCATGCCTTTAATCCTTTACTTTCTAGAACTTGTCTTTTCTTGAAGTTTTGTTGTAATTGATAAATGTAAAAAAAATCTTTGTCTGGGGGGGGGGGGTAATTACCCCCTCTACCCCCCCCCCCTTTAAACCGTCCTTGGCTGCCAAGACAAGATGCTACAGCACATCTGAGTTGATCATCAATAAATAACCAGTTCATATTGTGATACTTTACGTTGATAATATGTAATTGCTTCTTCATGGAAGGCTTATTCTTTTTTTCTCTGATAAGCCATTTTCTATTTTTTGAACACACGCCTCCGTTTTGTAGGTATTTCCATGACTGGTGATACCATTCAAGTCTGTCAAATCTTTTATATCATCGGCCAATGATGTTCGAGACCGGTTAGGTCTTGATAGTTTCCCACTTCAGTTGGTTGGTAGTTTTGGCCACATGTCCTACCCGAGGCCATTTTATCAAAGCTGTAGGTAATATCTGCGGCCAGTAGATCTAAAGCTACAGAAGGAATTCGGTCGTAAATGTTTGATGTTGCTAGGTTCTGTTATAAAAAAAAAAGCGAAAATACTATGTAGACATGAACATGAGGTATATGGTTCATTTGAAAATCCATTTGCTATCTTCTCCTATTTAATAACTGATTTCTCCAATTTTGCCTATTAATAAAAGTCAAGTTTTTCTAAAGATACCTTCAGCTTTTGTCAATTGGGCAAACATCCGACCTGGATGATTGGGGGAGTTGTGAGTACAAGTTTCAATATGATATTATACTTCCTTAATGTTTCGCACGCAGCTGGGTATTATATGAATAAAATAAGCCAT